TGTGTGTGTGGGCAACTCGTTTCCATATGTTTCCACTCTCCTTTCTTATCCTAACTTACTAATGCTGGGCTGTGCGTGCGTATGGGGCGTTGGGGGCGTTGGGGTGATGAAGGTATGTATCTTCCAGCCACTCACTCATGGGTGTCTCGTCTCCCTCACAGGCTTTTTATAGGTACCGATTTGATTGATGCGACCCAACACACACACACAGATGAGGGAATGGTGAAATGATAGAATGATTGGCACACGCAGCGCAGCAGGGGGGCCCTCTCTGTCTGTCTGTCTGTCTGTCTGTGTCGCCGTATTTGATAGAGTCGATGCCGCCCTCCCCTCCCTCTCTGCTGGTGTGTTCTGATGTCAAAACGAGTGACCATTGTGTGAGTGCGTGTGCGGCTCCCTAGTGCTGATGGATGGCTGGCTGGATTGCGGGCCGTGTCAGTCAGTCAGTCAGTGAGTCATGACTCTCTCTCCCACCCCTAGCTGCCTCCTTACCTTTTTTGTCGTCCGTCCGTCCCCTCGATCTTTGGCTCTCTCTGCTGTCTGTCTCTCGCGTGGTCGTACTGGCTGTGAGTGAGTGAGTGAGTGTCCGTACTCTCTTTCATGTGGTCGTCGTCTTGACTGACTGACTGGTGGTGGTCTCTCTCTCTCTCCCTCTCCCTCTGCGTGCGTGCGGTGCCTCTTATCTGTGTGTGTGTGTGAGACTCATGCGGTGCGGCCGTCGACTGACTGACTGACTCATCCAACCAGCCCTTTTTCTGATCAGACCTGGCTGCCTCTCTGTCTGCTGTGTGTGTGTGTGTGTGTGTCTGGCTAAGTGACGTGTTGGTACCAATGTCTGTCTGCCTGTCTGCTGGACGACACACTGACGTGACGTTGCCATTCATTCACACCATCCATCCGCTCGCTCTCTCGGTGCAGCAGTCCGTCCACCAAGCCAACAGGCAATGGAGTCGCAGGAGTCATGGAGCCCGCCAAGTCGACAGACAAATAGACAGACACATCAAACATGGCCATGTACGTCCACAACACACACAAGGAGATGCTAGGCTATGCTGCCCTTAGCCGTGTGTTAGTTCTCTCTCCTGACTACCAAGAAAACCACCACACCCCACCGACAGTTCGAGAGCGACTGAAAGTCTATCTGCCCTTCCATCCATCTGTCAGCCTTTTAGCCCTAGCTACATGACGTCGTGTATGGCGTCCATCAGCACCTCCTCCTCAAGACTATCGTCACCCATACCACCACCACCACCACCCCCCGCTAAGCCCCCCTTGCCGGCTGCATCATCAGGGCTGTTGCAGCCGCCCTTGTCCAACGCACCTAGCCCTAGCAGAGAGGGCACCGTGGACGTGTCCACACTCAGCAACAATGGCTTCTTCTGTGCCTCGCCGGTGACCATCAACACTTGGCCCTTTCTCTCGCCTCGGTGCTGCTCGCCTCGTCCAGCTGTTGCGGTTGCGAAGGCTCCCCAGCCGCCGCCGGTGTCGCTTCCTTCCTCGTCTGCCTGGAGGAAAGCCGACGATGGGTGGTGGGTCTCCTGGGTGTCTGTCTCTGCATGGTGGGAGTGGTGGTGTGGGTGTGTGTCTCCCTCCTCGTCAGCTGTGGCTGCCCTGGTCTCGGCTGTCGTGTCGGTCCGCTTGCCCTCTGCTGCTGGCTCATGCACTGCCTGGGTGGCGACTGGCTTAGCAGGTTGTGTGGGGGGCGGGATCGGCGACACGGTTTGCGGTGGGGGTGCAGCGGCAGCGGGGGGATGGGAGGCGGGGGCAAGCTCGTCAGGAAACGCCGCGAACACAGCTGCTGGTGGCATGGCGTCACGCACACAGATCAACACACAACAAGATGACCGACCGAGGGAGCAAGGCATGACATGACGCGCTGTGTGGTGTGGGTTAGGTTACCCATCGTGGCGGGATCAGCAGTGTTTGTGTCTGGTGTGGCTGCGTTGCGTGCGGCGATCCACTGGTTGCTCGATGCTGCCCACGGAGAGGGGGTGATGGAGGGGACGCCAGAAGATGGTCCACGCGCAAAGGGGTTGCTGCACACACACACACACACACAATCGGTGTGAATGAGTCGACTGTGCAGACAGGCAATACGTTTGTGGGGCCTTGAATGGGTCGTCGTGTTGCTGGCCGGCGGCACTCGCGACCACCGACTGGATCAGCCGGTCCTCCTGAATGCCATCATGTGGGGTGGGTAGGGTAGGGTGCACACCACACACGCATCACTTGACGCGTCTGTCTCTGTCTGTCTGTCTGTCTGTCCGTTCCTACCAGGTCATCGCGTGTGGAGCCTGACGACCCGTCAGGGCTCTGCGGCAGCAGCTGATCGTCGTCACTCCGGGGGCTATCTGCTCCGGCCACCTACACACACACACACAAAAATGGTATTCACCCCCTCTAGCAATGTTTGTGCGGTGACACCCAAAGCCACACACACACACACATACGTACGTGTCTGTGTCTGCCCTTTGGCCGCATGGGCAGCTCCACAGCATCGGTGGTGGACCGACCGCTGCCCCACACAGTGCGCCCAAGCAGCAAGAGACCTGCACACCCCCCCCCCCAC